ATGAAAAGTGGTATCAGTCTCGTGAATTAAATATATTTTATTTCGTATTTGAGAGGCAATGTGAAATTACTTTGGAAACCACTTCTGGCTGCGGGAGGGGCTGGAGGAGGGCTGAGTGTCATATGTGAAAGGATACTCTCCAACCATCAGCCATGCTAACCTCTGAAAGGGCAGGTCGGCAGCCGCAGGGCGGGGCATATGTCCTGCTTACACACTCTTAATTATTGCAATGGACAGGCATTACCTGATGATTGAACCACCATTAACAAAAGCACATGGACAGAATCAGGGAGAAAATATTAGTAATAAATAGAAGCAAAGACAATAGAATTTCTGCATGTATCTCACCTTTAGCTCTGAGATTCCTGGGGACCAAGTAACACAGGAAACAGAGGTGGATCCTGAACTTGCTCTCATCTCTCAGGGAAGCACAGTAGTCCCTCAAGGGGCACTCATGCGCCCAGTTAACATTTCATGAGTCTATATGTGTCACAAGAAATGATAAACAATTGTTGAAGGGCCGCACACCTGTGTTCTAGGAGTCATAGAAACACCTAGAAATGGCTACATCTCGTATGAACCCTTGATGGAAAGCAGCATGTGACAGGACAGTGTAACACAGTGAAGATGGGACTGGCGCTCTGTGTACCCTCACTTGCCCTCTGGCAAGCACGCTCAGCAAGAGATGTCGCTGAACCTGAGCCATTGAGTCAGAGCCCCACCAGCAGTGCCAGCCATGCCACGGTGAGAGAGGCTCGGCGTGTGGCCTCCACACCCAGGGGACGGAGCTGAGCCCAGAAGGAGGAAAGGGGCCGCCTTCACACGTTTGCCGCCTCATCTAAATCCACAAGGAGGACCATTTGCCACCCATGCCCTTCCACAGGTAGTTGTTTATTCAGATTTATGACAGGTTTACAAACTTCTATTTGAATTTTTGTGTTGCCAAGTGGTGTTTATGTGTAATATTAGGGGCGTAGAGACAAGTAACTTGTAGGGAGTTCTGTTTCCATCTCTAGGTGGCCGACATGGGATGTGGAATTTTATCCAAGTGATGAATGTCTGGCCTAGTGGTGCTTTGGGGACATGTGGCTTCACCGGAGCCAATGCTACAATCGCTTCCATGTCTACGCTGCCGGGGAGCTCCGCTGGTTAGAGTGTCGTCCTGATTGGCCATGGTTAAGGGGCGACCGCCAGTCAGGGCACATACAGGAAGCAACCAATGGGAGCATAAATGAGTGGACAGCAAATCGACTTTTCTCTCTCTCTCCCCCTTCCTCTCTCTCCTCCAACCAATCATTTAAAAAAGTGCCTCCATGTCTAAGCAGAGAGAACTGCCTGCACAGTGGCCGGTCCTGGCTGGAGCGAAAGGGTCCCTGGTCGCAGGCACAGGTGTGGCTGTGGGTGTTTAAGTGGGAGCCGCCCAGGGCTGGGCAGGAACGGGGGTCCCAGGACAGTCCATACTGCACCGAGTGTGCCTGTGACTCCCAGTCTCCGTGTGCGCACCTGTGACCGCAGCTGCAGGGGTTCCCTGAGCCGTGACCCTGGGACCCCGGAGAAGGGCAGAGCGGGTCACATCCCAGTATCTGCCAAGTTCCCTGCTGTTGGCTCTCATCATTTTTGCTGCCCCATTTTATTCATGGTCCTTAATGCTTTAGGCATCTGAAGGCTAATGTGCAGTGACGATGAGCGATGAGCGGAAGAAACTGCTTGCCACCCATTCCTTCACGTTTATCAAACAGCAGGAAAACACAAAGAAAACCCATGTATGTCACTCTTCTTAGGTTCTTTGCTTTTCTGATTTTTTGGCGACTTGCCTGACCTGCCTGTGTTGTAAAGTTCCCAGGGAATCCCTTGTGATGCTGGCTGGCTTTGTGTAAGGTCTTATGGAATTTTCACGCACAATCTAGGCCTAATGGTGAAGAACACGTGTATTAAGTTCATGTAAGTGGTGTGGACGAAAAGGGCCACATGCTGACCTGACAAGCTCAGGAGAGGCCTGCATGGCAGTTTTGCAGACTCGGAGACCTAAAGTCACCACAAAGGATGGTCTGAAATTAAACTTTAAGTAAAAGCAGTTATGGTGGGCATTTATGTTCTAAGCTGATATCTTCACTAAGGTCAACCTTTACTGTAACTGAGCCTATCTGTCTTTTTGAATCTAAGATAACATATCCTTGGGATGTCTGGGTAACTTGTGACTCCCCTTTTTATGGAGCCCCTGGGGCACAACCAGGTGTGCTGGGCCCAGGACAGATGCCTCAGATTCTTTCATTTATCATGTTAATCGTTCCTGCACCCACCTAAGTGTGTGTCCATCATTTTACTTTTTATCCTATCCCAGAGGTTCCGCCCCCCC